AAAAAAAATTATCTTGTATTTTTTTTTGTTTAAAAAGATATATTGAAATAATGGTTCAATATGGTTTTATTGCAATGTTTTCCATCGCTTTACCAATCGCACCGTTTTTGGCAATGATCAATAATTTATTTGAATTACGAACAGATGCTATGAAACTTTTATTTGAATTTCGTCGACCAATTGGTGAACTTGCTTATACACTTGGTATATGGGAAAAAATTTTTGATGCCTTATCAAAAATTGCAATATTAACTAATATACTTTATTTATTAATTACATGTGATTTAATATCAAAATTATTTTATATTTATATTCAAGATGATATTAGTTTAAAGAATTATCTTAATTATACATTATCATATTTATATCTAAATGATTTAGATGATGAAAACGAAATTTTTCAAGGAAATCAATTAAATATTACTTATTGTCGTTATCGAGATTTTAGATATGATTACGGTAGATTGTCTGTATTATAACTAAAGTTTATCACGAAAATAGGAGAAGTATAGTTTTAGACCTAATGAAGTTTTCTCCGCTTAAATCGAGAAAAAAAATATGAGTGTTTTTTCGCGTAATCGTTCTAGTAAATGACTCAGTGTACCTATCTTACAGCTAACAATCTTTCACACTCTAGAATCACCATATAAATATCAACCAACACCAATTTATTATCAAATTCAAGTAATTCAATGGTTATCTATATTTATTTTTCTTCTATTTACAATTATAATCTATTAGTATGTAATTCTATCTTTTTTTCTACTAAAATTAAACCTTTTCTCCTTAGTCTATTTATGTTTTTTGTTAATGATAAAACGCGTTTAATTCGAGATATTCGTCAACAAGAAGAAATTCTTGCTGAACAAGAACTTTGGTCTGATCTAACATCAACAATATAAACTTCTTACTTTAAAAACACGAAATTGTACATAATCTTCACCTTCAAGACCTTCTATACGACGTTGTCGTGTTCCTTTTTGCATTAAAGCAATAATCATTGTACATAAATTTTCATCATCACCCTCATCAATAAAATTTAATCGAACTAAATATTGTGGGTTTATCCAATATTTTTCTAAATAAAATAAATTATTTACGAAATATTTCATAATCAAATTAAACCTTTGTTTGGTTGACCTGCACCACCTGCTGTTGAACCGGGTACCCATTCACCATGTAATAATTCTTCTTGCCATGTTAATTTATCATCCTAGGAATTTTTAAACCAAATTATTTATTTGTAAGTGAAGGTGATATTCAGTTATGAAAAACTATACAATACCCTAAATAAATTGTTCCATGAACAAACACCAGCATCATCTTCTGTTGTACCTAAGCTAGCTGGTCCTCGATGACAAATATGTAATTGATGAAAATTAGCATAGAAATCATCGAAACTAATCCAAAATTCTCCATCGTGTAACGCACGTACACCCAATTCTTGTTTTTCTTCATCACTTATAGCATCCCATGCTTTTGAACTACAAAAAATGTATCATAATCAATTTGATTTTAATATATTTTCTACATACTTATCTGAATATTTTCCATTCCTAAGAATATGAAGAAAAAGCAAAGATGTTATTTTAGTTTAAATACTTAAATTAACTAACCATTCAGTTTCATTTCCCCATGGATCTAAAAATATGAGAAAATAAATGTGAAGTAAAAATTTCTCAAGAGGAATTCACACCTACTTAAACATCGAATAAGCGTAATACTACCAACATCAGTAGTAACATCAGCAACGCGTGTTATTGAATAAGCATGACCTGAATAATTCTACAATATATAAATATTTTTAAAACAAATATTCAAACCTTTTACAAGACCATTTGAAAGTTTAGCTTCGGTTACTTTTGGATCAGCCTAAAATATATATGATAATAATCATTCTTTATCGTTTTTTGAATTTCTCTTACAGTAATCGAACATCCAAGCATTGATTTACGTAGATAAGCTTGCCAAAGAACACGTTTTATTTGTTCTTTGAAATCTGCTGTTGCTGCCGCTGTACTATTTAATTCAAATGCTTCTTCAATACCTCCAGTCATATCAATTAAAGCATCTGTAGTAAAACCACCTTCCATAGCTTCATATGAACCACATAATCTTAACAAAAAGAGAAAAAATTCGATATATTATTTAAAAAATCTTTTACTTTGCATAAGCTTTTTCTAATAATGGTGCCCACATTTCATTTTTATCTTTTTTATTACGACAAAATACAAGTCGTCCATCAGTATGAAATGGTAATTGATCATCAATAACAACATCATACCATTGACCATAAACCCAAAAACGAAAATGAAAAATTCCTTAAAGAAAAACAAAATTTCTTATTGAAAAGAATAAAATAAATTCTACCAGAATAATTATTCTCATCAAATGATTGATTAGCTGGAACAACACGTTGAAGAAGATCAGGATTAAGAGTTACAGCACCAGCACCAGCAATAAACCAACAATTACCTAAATAGAAATGATGGTTTAATTCAAAACCCAAAAACTTTCTCTTATACTGATCAATACCGATTTCACCCTGATCAAGATCACCACGTTGATATCCATCGATAACGAATTGTGGTTTTTGATAAACTGTCTATGAATAAAGAAAATTATTTTTTTTTTGGATTTTTAAAAATATTATTTATACCGTTGGTCTAAA